ATAGAGGATTATGCCCATATTTGATCGATGGACATGAAGATGATGGACTAGCTAAGGAGAAAGAGGGAGTTGGGCCGGACCAGCACATTATTAATTAGATTGGGCCAAATGAATTGTTTTTGTTATTTCAGTTATTTAATGATTGGGCTACAACATGTTAGGAAAAGCCCAAATGATGACCTATTATTATGTTGTTATTTCTACTATAAATGGGAAAAGAGTCACCCAGAATAGCCAACTTTTTGGCAGTTACAATTTCTCTCATCTCTAATTTCTCTCTCATCCCTCTAAATTCTCTGAAATTCCTCTCCTTTCTTCTTCACCAATTCAGCTCGCATTTACTTAAATTAAGGATTTATAAAAATTACAAAAATTACAAAAAATTCAGAAATCAAAAACCCAGTCCATAACAAAATACAAGTCAAAAAAATTAATTAATCGTTGTAAATTATTTAATCTAAAATCGTGGAATGCAATTTTAGCTCGAACACAATCTGACTATTACACCATTGAACATACAATTTCACTGAACTTAATTTTTACAGGAGGGTGACATTAGATCTGCTATCGCAAAACAATCAGTCATAATGATCTGTAAGTTAGACCCCTCCTCCCCTCCAAGTAAAGGGTCCATGTCTCGTAAATATTCATGTCGCATAAATATGCAACACATTGAATGAAGATTCAAAAAACACATTGATTGAATCACGGTACATGAGTGATCGAAATTTGATAGTGAAAGTAGGACCCGTACAACCCTGCACTTACTATATATGGGTCCGACAACATGGCTTAGATGAGCAATTTGAGTTGCAAAATTTTCAGAATTGTGTGTTATTTTTGATTGTTCGAGTATATTCAGAACTCAAATTTTTAGCTCTGAGTATTCATTGTTGGATTGTTCGAGTATTCAATAGCACCATAATTGTCTTGCGATTGCTACAAAATATAATTGGATGGCAAGAAAAATTATTGAGCCTAGCTTTGGTTTATTCATACAACTCCGGGAGTGAAATACAATAGTTAAAGAAAGAGAAAGTGAAATTATTACTTAAATTGCAGAAAAGTTCACTACAAAAAAATTGTTATATTCCAACGAAAAATCCTATGGTAATATATTCCAATGAAAATTCCAACGGATATTTCAATGGTATAGCTTCCGTTGGAATGATTCCAACGGAAATTCCAACGAAAATATTCCGTTGGAATGTATTTTTTATTGAAATTTTAGATAGAATTTGATGATTCTAACGGCTATATTTCGAACGGCTTTTGACCGTAGGAATTTCCGTTAGAATATGCAATTTCTGTTGGAATTTTTATTTCCACCACCGTTGGAATCGTCAAAATCTAACGAAAATTCCAATGGAAAACTCATTCCAACGAAATATTTTTGTTGGAATTTCCGTTGGAATTATTGCAACGGAAATAGTAGTATTGAAATACCCATTGAAATTGCCGTTGAAATTCTATTGGTATATATTTCCGTTGGAATTTCATCGTTTTCTTGTAGTGGTTAGAATCGAGATGAGTTGAACTCACGACAACTATATTTCCTGTGACACCTACAATTATGGCATATTGTACCACATATACGACTTCTCTAAATTTGTAAACACACTTGAATGCATGTTATAGATAAAAGTTGCTTCACAGAATTAACGGTGATTATAATTTGTAGTATCCTTCTTGATACAAATTATCATCAACAAGATCTAATTATAGAGCATATACTCTATAATTAACTTATTGAATTTAGAGATTCTTGTGTGTTACAAAACTGCAAAGAAGGAATGAAGAATGGGAAATAATAGAGAGAATTTCCTTATAATGACTTTGATTAATAGACGAACACCTATTTTTTGGGGGAAAAAAAATGGACGATAGAATGGTAATAGTATTATTATTATTATAATATTAGGGATAAAATAATTATTTATGAAACAGATAATATAAATAATATTTATAAACTTTCTGTGGTATAACAGTTACAATATTTTATAGAAAAAAAAAAATTGTCATATTCTAAAAGAAAATCCTACGATAACATATTCCAATGGAAATTCCAACAGATATTCCAGTAGTACGGTTTCCATTAGAATGATTCGAACGAAAATATTCCAACGAAAATATTCCGTTAGAATGAGTTTTCCATTGAAATTTTAGGTAAAATTTGATAATTTAAACGACTATCTATCCAACGGTTTTCTTACCGTATGAATTTCCGTCTAAATATGCAATTTCTATTGAAATTTTTATTTTCACCCATAATTCAAACGCTGAAAAATCTACCATTTGAATCGTCAAAATACAACGAAGATTTCAATAGAATATTTTTGTTCGAATTTCAGTTGGAATCCATTGAAAAATTCCAACGAAAATAATAGCATTAGTATATCCATTGGATTTGTCGTTGGAATTCTATTGAAATATATTTCCGTTCAAATTTGATCATTTTCTTGTAGTGTATGCCGATATTAATTTGTAGTGTGGTATATATTGATGATATTTCAAAATTACTATCACTTTATGTTCTATCATTTTAAATACTTCAAATTTTCAAATGCAATTGTTGATAATATTGTCAATAGCCTTGTAGCTCTTTAATTTTTTTTTTTCAATTTCAATTGTAATTGATGAATATTGTCCACAACCCTACACTCTAGCTCTTTTGAGAAATTCAGAATTTTAATTGCAATTGATGAATATTGTCTACAACCTTATGCATTAACTCTTTAAATAGTTTGAATTTCCAAATGGAGTTAATAGATATTGTCCACAATCTATGTCCTAACTTTCTAAAATATCTTGTTTTTCAAATACAACTAACTAGCTTAATTGAGAATTGGTTTGGGAGCTTATCAACCAAGATTATAACATATTATAATATAAGGTGTGACGAAATTCTAGAAATATTCATCAATTATTTGGTATTTAGAGATTGGATATTTATCCTAAAAGATAAGATTATATATTTTTTATGAATTATTTTTTTAGACAAGTTAGAAATATGTGAAATTGTTATGAGGGAAGTAGGGCCAGCCAGGCGACCGCCAGCCCTGTTACCCCAGGGTCCACGTTTATATATTTTTTTAATACCCGCCATATATAATGTTTTGTTAATTTGTTCTTCTTGCTTGAATATACAAAATTTTATTTTTGATTGCACAATTCAATTATGTTAGTGATTGTCAATAAAAGAGTTAAGTGAAACCAACTCATTTTCAGACAAATTTCAATTTAAATTTGTTATTAAACTTTGTTAAACATAAAATAAAACCTAACACTTTCCAATAAAGAAATGTATATAACTACAATTGAGTATTATGTACTCCACTAAACTTAAGTTATATATTTAAGTAAAGGAAAGATTGGAGTTTTGACTGCTTATTTTACTTTGAATGAAAATAATTTTCTCCTTTCTTTTCATTTGTGATTCTTAAGAAATTTCTCAAAATTATTTATAAAAATTAGCTATATTATTATTTTAAATTTCACTGCTTTTATTATGACGAGTTACATTCTCTTTTTTTTATTAACTTAAAAAAAAATGAAAACAACTAAAGGCAACATTTAACACATTTCGTCCAGGCCTTTTAAAGTTCATGACCGACTATGGAGGGAATAGGGAGAAAGTTGTTTTGTTATTTTTTTTTCTTGGAAAGAATCCTTATTATATTAAGGACGTCTTACCAAAATCACAATTTTATTTTCATTTCTAGTGTGTGACCAATTATACTTTTTCCAGTATGATATAGGATAACATATCGGGTCGAATGGACCCGAGTAACAGCATGAACGAACCGAATGAATCGGCAGGTCAAACAGAGACGAACCATTACAAGTCGAAAACTCCTCATGTCGATGGAGACGACGCTAATCCATGGAGCACCGACAAGTCGAATTTCCCTTGGATGGCCTGGTTTAAACTCGACCTGAAGGTACAGCTGGTTGTAGGATCGACCAGATGAGCAGAAGGTAGGAGCTCGATATCGTTGGTACTCTACCTCGAGGTAATTGGGGTCGGTTGCACGATTAGACCGTATAGTAAGAAAGACTAAAGGATAAGAATAAATATTATTAGGATAAGATCCACACGTGGATAACACCACGTGACCTAACAGAATTAGACAGTTTGGGTAGTATGAATAGGCAATCCGGACAGCCTACTCAGGCAGTCTTAGACAACAAGATATCATCTCCCTATATCAATGTTTCAAATATTACCGTACCTGCCGGTATTACCGATAATACCGGATACCGGTGTTCCGACTGGTACGGTTACACTCAAAATATCGTTTTGACCAAAATACCGATTTATACCGGTTTCATACCACAAAATACCGGTTTTACCAGCAAATACCGTCCAAAATACCGGTTTATGCCATTTTTAAAAAATATATATATATTTTTTAATATATTTTCATTAATTCATTTATATAATTAAAAGTTCTACAATTAAGTTTAATATGTTTACATTGTTACTAGATTTATTACTTTTAGTATTAATTAAAGTTAAATTTGTACATTATTTATATTATAATAACAAATTAATTTAATATTTATTGAAACCGGTAAAATATACGATAAAACCGGTTGAACCGGTACTGTTGACTCGTCCGGTATGATTACCGGTACGGTATTTAAAACACTGACCTATATAAGGGAGTGAAATATGTCCACTGTTACATTATACACTCTATACACTTACATATTGTTCATCATCTTCTTCTTCACTGTGCTAACTTAAACATCGGGGGTTCTTCACCCGAAAAATCCTCCAATGTCGAGTTACAAAATGACCATCGACCGACTCAGTTCAACGGTCTATCTTCCGTATTGGTGAATGATCTTCGTAACATGTCATACTTATAAAAATGCATACTTATTCCATAAATGACATACTTTTATTTATATCATAATTACGCAACCTAACAGAAGAGTCACCAATATATCTATATAAAATAGTGCTTTATTATTGCACAAGTGATGAGGGGTACAATAAACACAAGTTTCACCAGGTAAATAAAGGTAAGTTCAATCCTACCCTGTCTATCAGTGTTGGATTACATCCACTCACACATTCAACCATAAATAGGTATATGTTGAGCCAAACGGTCGTAAAACCTGTGTGGGCAAAGGGGGGACTTTTCTGGTAAATAAGACAACAATCCATGTAAAGGCAATTACACAACCGAGACCGAACCACATAGAACAGTGCAGTCGACAGCAATAACTAGTAGGATACACTATCATTTGTCAAAATTTGCTTTACACAAACTGAATGCACAAACAACCAATCAAAAACCCAAACTAGTGTTTAAAATTTACATACAAGTTATGAGTACGACGGAAAATAAAATAAAAAATAAAATAAAATAAAAATCTACAAGGGGATCACTGAATATAAGCAAGAAAACAAATCACAGGTCTCTTCTGCACAATGGGCAAGAACCGTGTCTCACCAGCCAAGTATCGATGCACGGTAGATGAAACATGTGGTGACAAAGTGGCAGACGACGAACTGTCTCTCCAAGTTGGAAATCCTAGATTTTGGGGGAAAAAAGGCGCTCAGATAAATTCTTCCAGATTAGTTCCTAATAACAACTAAAAAAATGCATATATGGTAAAAATTGGCCATTCATCTCCCATATAAATGTTTTGTTACCAATTTCTTTGGAAAGAACAGTTTCTTTAGCCATTTCAACTAAACCAATCAAAAAACAAGTTTTCAAATCGACATGTTAAAGAAAGAAACGGTACACTAACAATATAATCTGAAAATGCGTAAAAAAAAATTGTTTCCTCGAAAAATGGGCAAGTACTTCCTCAGAAAGATGAATGACCAAAAAATCCCCCAGGGCTGAAGAGAAGGGATGACCATTAGAGAAGGGACCATATACCTGCAGGCAAACCGAACAGGAAGCCTCATCCCCTGAAGAATCCAAACTTCCATCTCGAGTGATGGTAAATTTGGGGATCCTTTCCAATGTATCTACCAACAATCCTTTTGCCCCACCAGTGTCAAATATATTAGGGACTTCCTCAAATGGAGCCTCAACAGCTCCCATCTGACTAACAAAAAAGGCATCTCGAGTAAATAAAAAGAAAGGATCCATTTGAGTTTATGTCAAATACAAAAATCAGTGGCTACAACATAACCTCATCCGTACCTGACTTTGAACGGCACTAAGCATAGCTGGACCAATACGTTCACGTACAAGTCTACCACTCAGAAGGCTTGCTATGACATCAATCTGTACATTTCAGGATATATATTTACACATTATATCTCAGTTCAAATATATCCGTCCTTCCAAAATAGTTGGTCATGTTCGCACAAAAAGTCTTCCCAACAGAATTGCCGATTAAGAACCCAAGATATAATCGGATTATCGGATACAAGCTTTGTTTCTACAAAATTGGTTATAGAAAATATAGAGAAAGGTATAAGTTTCAGAAAGTGGCAACATCATAATTACACTCAAGCATATCAATCATTTTACAGGGTTCTATAACTCATGTGAAACTTTCTAACAATGGCAATAATTATGAGATAAAGAGAATATAAAGAGAATAGGAACACAAAACCAAATCTACAGTGTTTCATCTATCTCAATGCTACAAAGATTTAAAGCTTAAGCCTTTCGTCATGTTATAATAAAAATATGTGAATATCATCTTAGTGAATAAAGCGCATAGCTCACCAGATAAAGGAGACACCCCAATCCAGATTCATCCGACTGCCATAAAAGCAAAGACGACTCAAAGACCTCAATCGAGAAAACAGCCCCAGAGATGGCTCCTACGGAAGCCCCCCTAACAAACCCACTTTCCGTCTCTTGGCCAATTAAGGCTCCCGTAATTGCTCCCAATAAGGTGCCCACTGCATGCAGTATCAATCCCATTAGCTTAAATATCATGAGCCATTAACTTAGACTGCTAGACGCATTTCATAACACAAAATTACTCAAAGCAGTGGAAAATTCTTTCAAAAAAAATGTCAATATAATAATACCAGGGAAAACAAATAAAATTGAACTGAAAAATATATTCAGACCATAATCAGCCATTCATAATATGAAAATATAGAGACTCGCCCAAATTCTACAACAATGAAATGCGTGAGAAGGAAACCCCTAGACACTTCTTCAAAACACCCAATTTTTTTTTTCGAACAGAAAAGATCCCATTAGGGAAACAGATTAACTACCATAGGATTTCACGAGCAAGAACTCACTGAGGCTGAAAAATGAGACCAGTCTGAACCAGAACTACGGAAACCCACATCGAAAAGACACGCACAAATCGGTGGAAAAACCCAAAATCAACAAAAATAACGAACCCACAATTTCTAGCAAACCAACAATTAAAAAGCGAGACGCAGAGAGAGATGCAATTCGCTCACCGAAAGCAAAGAAAAACGTGAGAATTGCCGAGAAAATGTTCCCAATCACAGCAGAGACCGCAAATCGGACGAAATCCTTGACCTTGTTGACCACGGACCCGATTGGGGAATAAGATTCATCTGGCGCTGAAGGGCGGAAAGAGTGAGACGGGTACGCGTAGAACTCCATGGATTCATGAAAAAGAGAGACGACGGACGAATTCCTTTGTTCAGATGGTTAAGGAAAGATCGATGTAAGTGAGAGAGATGATAAATATACTGGTTTGAGATCGGTGGGCGTCGTCGCCTGTTGGTTTTGTATCAAGATCGATGTATGTATTGAGTATTTATTATATAGTATAAGTATATTATATTTTAAAGAAAATATCTTGTCAACATCTCTATCTCTATGACTTTATACACATAAATAAATGGGGTTTATTGCACCAAATCCCCTTGTATTATATGAAATCTGCGCGTTTTTGCGTCAAACCCCCCTGTATTTAATGTTTCAATGCACTCGCCCTTGTAAGTTAAGGCCGTGACTTTTAATGCTGACGGCGTTACTTTTCGCTGAAATTACTATTATACCCCCCTGTATTTAATGTTTCAATGCACTCGCCCTTGTAAGTTAAGGGCGTGACTTTTAATGCCGACGGCATTACTTTTCGCTGAAATTACTATTATACCTTTACTTTATCCTTAAATTTACCATTATACTCTTATTGTCATATATGATGACTTAAAAATAAAATCCCAAAGGTGGGGATTGAACCCACTACCTTTGAGTTATAAAAAACCACCTCCACCAATTGGGCTACTTGGTGTTTTCTTATTAACATGACTTTGTTTATTTATATCATAACATATAGCGGAACTAATATAATAATTAAGTATATGAATTCTAATTTATAAATAATATAATAATTAAATATTTAGATATAAATAATATTATAATTAAATATTTTTTAGTTATAAATAATATAATAATTAAGTAAAAAGATTTTAAATTACAAATAATATAATAACTAATATAATAATTTGGTATATAGATTCTGTATATAAATAATGTAATGGTTAAATAAACATACTCTAAATTATAAATAATATAGTGAATGAATAAATAGATTCTATATTCTAAACTATAAATGATAAAATAATTAAGAAAATAATTTATAAATTATAAATAATATAATAATTAAGTAAATA